TCAGCGCCAGCCAGGCGGGAAGTCGGGGCCGGCGCGCGCGACGAATCAGCGGCGCCTGCGTCGAACTGGGTCCGTCAAAGATTGGACGGCATCATCTTGCCGAACGGCGCTTCCCTCGCATTCGATATCAAGGACATGATCATAAAAAGAAGACACTCATCACCAAACACGCAATCACTTCACGCATGATATGTCGGTACGCCTGGAGCCTCGCCCATGTAGGAAACAAGATGGGCATGGACTATGATGGTCCTTTGTTCTGGCAGCGGTTTCAACCAGACGACAAGAACGACACCCCTTTCCCAAGAGACCAACCGAAGCTGGCCCCGTAGGTCGAGACGACGTCCCTGCCGCCCGCAAAATCCCCGTCCTCTTCAAATCTGCTCCGCAAAACGCGGCGCGGGTAGAAGACCCTCGCAAAAGCGAGGACTCGTAGCGGTGCCCTGGTGTAGGCGCGAGTGACTGGTATGACGCTGCTGTTTTGTGTATGTGTGTTTGTGTTCCCATGCGCGATGGAAAGACGTGTTCATGTATAGCAGTGAGCCGCAGGCAATAAACATTAATGCCTGTGCTCGTTGATGCTCACTTGAGCTGCGCGAGATGCGCGATGCCAAAAGTTGTTGGTGGTTGCGATGGACGAGAAGGAGCAAATGGGTGGAAATTTTCTTCGGGATTGATTTTACGGTGGGTAGATTCTGATTATGTAAGACCGGGAAGGGTCTTCGCTGTGAACGGAAGGGAAGGGCGGCAGGATGGCTGCCCCAGCTGGCAGCACTTGGCCACGTCAAACCGTGTTAGTCGGAGCTGGGGTATCCATGAAACTCTAGCCACATGATTTGCACCACGATCTTCAGGAGGGATCATGCAGGGCAGATCAGATAATTAATATCGACAGGCCAAGTTCGAACACGCCTTCTCAACGATGACACAAATCACAAGTTCATCTCCGGGTGAGACCAGACAATTGGAGGAAAACCCTTGAAGCCATTAAAGATATCGTGAAATACGTCGTCTCGATAACATCCGTGATATTCAAAATCCAAACCCCGACAATGTGTCCTGGGAAGAGGCATATATATGCCACCGTTCCCCAATAGTAGAACTTCGCTTCTAGTTTGTGACCAGCAAACAGAATGCCGGTTGGGCTGATGGATAGGAAAACAGGTATACCCGAACTCCCAAGCAAACAAAATCATACACTCTGGCTCTCAACCTCCAACTCAAATCAGTCCGGCACGGGCAGCCTCGCCGCCGCCATCCTCAACGAGCTCATCCATGCGCCTCTTGCCCTTGCCAATGCCGCCCTCACCAACGCCCATTCTCCTGGCGACGTATCTCTGGGCAACAACGCCGACCGCAAGGCCAAGAAGCTCCTCGATCCACTCGGCAACCCACTCGCGGGGGTCGACACCGCCGCCCTCGACAATCTCACGGATTTCGTCAGGAATCGACTGGTTCAAAGACGCCTGGCCGTCCTCGCCGCTGGCGGGCGTCAACGGGTTAGACGCATCCAACCACTGGATCCACCTTGCGGGGATAGACTGGCTGATGGCCGAGTACTCAATCTCGTGGACAGGGTCCAGGCAGAAGACCGCAAAGCAGACCATCTCATCCGCCTCGTCCACATCAGCCACAGCAGACGCCTCCTTCTCCTTCTCAACAGCCGCAGTTCGCGCGAAGAGGGCAGAGTCTGAGGTCGTGCCAACAGCCTGGATGGCAAGGAACAGGTCGGAGCTGCGCACCGGGTTCTCCTCGCTCAGAGGCTCGGTGGCACGAATCCTGGCCTGCTCCAGACCGCCGTGGGCTCCAAAGTACTCGTTGGCGTAGCCCTCAGCGCCGGCGCGGCAGAGCTTGGTGCCCTCAGTGAGACCCTTGATCATACCGAGGTCACGCGGGGAATCGGCCTGCCTCCACCAGGGACCATCTCGCCAGCCGGCGCCGCCGTCGTTGGAGTATCTCCTGCTGGTGTTCTCCTGGCCGCGCTGGATGACCATGAGCTCGCCGCCCTCGACCTGGGACATGACGCGAGAGAAGGTGCCGTAGATCAAGGGGTCGAGGGAGGGGTACCCGACCATGTCGTGGGTGATGTGGATGAGCAGACGTTCGTGGGAGCTGATCGGGGGCGCGAGGGTGTGGAGGATGTTTGTAAACGTCGGCATGGCCTGCTGGCGAAGGTTGTCACCTGTGCATACGTTGTCAGTAAAATGGACCAGGCCGATCGAGAACGCCTCTACACATGCAATGATGCTTCAATACTTACCCAATGCCCTGAGGCCGCCAACGTTTCCGCGCACCTGTTCAGCCCACTTCTTGGCCTCTTCGTTCTTCTGAATCTCCTTGACAGCGGCTTCGGCCTGCTTCATGGCGGCAGAGGCAGTAGAGAAGACACTTCCCCACCAGCCACCACCGGCAGCGGGAGCGGCGGTGGCAGCAGCAGAGGAAGATGCAGTCGTCTTCTCCGTCTCTTGGAGATCAGAGCTCGTAGCGCTGGGGGTGAAGCTCGCGCGCAGAGAGCGGGCGCTGTCGGTGGACTTGCGAGGGGCAGCAGCCTTGTCGTCAATGGTCGGGGTGGCAGAGCGTCGAGGAGGGCCCTTGGCAGCCGTCTCCTTAATACGGGGCGTGTGCGGGCGGGAAGGCTGCTCGAGGTCCTTTTCGAGCTCGGCGAGGATGTCCTGGTCGGCCATGGCCTTGGAGGCAGCGGTGGTGGGCTTGGGCTTCTTCTCGAGGGACTTCTTGGGAGCGGGAGCCTCACCGCCGATGCCCTCGAAGAGATCGTCGATGTCGTCGCCGCCAGCGGCAGCCTTGGTCTTCTTGGGAGGCATGTTGGTGGTGGTAGTGGTGGCTGTTGGTGTTGTTGTTGATGGAGAGGTGATGTTGCGGGGCAGACGTCACAAGCTATCTGGTACACTACCGCAGGCAGGTAAGACGATTGGCGGTGCTGTGTAAGGCAGTGGAAGGCCCTGGCCCTGGCCCGGAAAGGGCAGGTCGGGGAGCTCGTCCAAGGGATGGATGGATGCTCGGGAAGCTGAGTCAGGGGCCGTATGAAAGGTGAAAAGCTTGAAACAACAGCTCAAGGCAATTGATCTTTGACTAGAAAAAACTCCGAGACTCTTAGCAGCTGAATGAGCTGAATATGGCGTTGCTATTGACTGGTATCAAGGCCAATTCGCTGGTTCGTTGGAGTGAGGAGACTGAGGTGGACGCTGGACCCGACCGACGCCCAGCCAGGCACGTCCATCTGGCAGCTGGAGACGTGCATCATCAGGGACAGGACATGCGGATGCGCTAGTCCGTATGTGGCATAAAGTCGTTTGGCGAGAGCTTATTGGCCCAGGGCCCCTGCCCAGGATGAAAAGCGCGTCCGGCGGGTCCTGCCTCGACAAACACGCTGCCTGCTGGGTGCAAGTCATACCTTAGTGGACGAAGGCGCTAAGAGTTATTATCTTACAGCGCTGATGCCGCCTGAGGAGATGCGATGGTGCTGGAAGATGCCCTGCTCACTGAGCATGATAACTCTCTCTGCCCAGCGGGATATGATGATTCAATGTGAAGACCATCCTCACCTCCGACCTGTTGATGTATGATTACTAAACCAGCTTGTTGTGTCGCTGCTTAATGAGAGAGAGAGAGAGACATATGAAAGTCTGTATCATTAAACCAGCTACTCATTCTAAGAGACCAGTGTCCACCATCGTCATCAGCAGTGAGCACGAGGACAGTGAGGTGTCAGGAGGAGAAAAGATACGTACCGCGCATGTACCGTTTTTCGCATGGCCCAGCCGTGGCTTGCTCGGGATCGCATCACCCAATGAGGCAGCTTACCCCATCCCCAGCCAGCCGCGGGCACTCCTTTCCCCAGCAGAGCACTGTCAAAGGGAGTGGCAGACGGTGGCGCCAGTTGCAGCCAGGGTCGGGGCTGCTGGCAAATTTGGATTTTTGCAAGTGAATGACTGACTGACAGAGACTGAGTCCCAGTCCCAGTCCCGACTGAGAAAGAGCAGGCCGCCTCACCTCAGAAGGCTGCCGTACCTTCCATGCCGTGTTAAGGTAAGGTACAAGGCCTATGTACCTTTGCCTGGTAGAACTCTCTGGCGTGAGAGCAGCGCACCTCAGCCGGCAAAAGCATCGCATCAACAAGAAGGGGGTCAGCCATATTCTTCACTTTGGCGTCCCTGATATCCCCCATCTGCAATCTCGTCGCCTTCTCAAAAACACAATCGCCGGATTCTGCGTCTCAGCATCTTTACTTGAGAGGCACTCATTTTTAGCTCAGCGACGCGGACGCAGAGCTTTCAGGGCCCGAATTATTCGACCCTTATTACCATTTACTGGCTCAAACCACCTGCCTAAGACCAGCAACAGCAATAGCAGCAAGGCCCAGGCACACACAACCTGACCTTAAGGTACGCACAGCTCACTCCTGTCGCTGTTAGCACTCCTGCCTCGCCTGGCCACCACCACTACCACTACAACTCAACGAGGTACCTCGCCCGACCACTGACTCTCCGCCGTCAGCAAGGTACCGCTCCTCACCCGTGCCAACAACCCAGCCAGCCAGCCAGTCGGTCCAGCCAAATCAAGCAGCAAGGGCCCGTCAGTCAAACCACATCACCACTTGCACATCAATCCTGGTTTACCATATTTTTCACCACCGCTGCCGGCCCTTACACCACCGGCAAATCGCCCTCAGACTTATCACCGACACCATCGGGACATTGCGAGACTTCTGCTCGTCTCCGTGAATGGTTTCTTGCCATTCCCCAGCGTCCTGTCGGCTTGCTCTGACCATTTCGCCTACACCCACCCTTTCTCCGCCTGCAACTTAATTCCCCGTCTTATTTTGATTCTACCCACCCCCGTCACTCCATCATCAACCCTTCTCCCTTCACAAGAACATGGAGCAGCGACCTCGTGGCGGACGCCCGAATCGGAGAAAGACACTGCCAAATTCAAGTTTTCAATCAGACACCAGCGCCGCCGGCGATTCTCCTTCCACCACAATGACGCGCTCTCCTCCCGCAGTCACTTCTCGCACTCCTCAGACAGCACCTCCCAATCGTCGGGGTGCCAAGCCCATTCCGATGAACAATCCCTTCTCAAGCGTTCGCTCCTCACCAAGTACCGGCCCTGCTGGCCCAGGCAAGGCTCTTAGAAAGAGATCTCGCACCAGCGGATATGACGGCAATGGCGATGAAGAGGATGAGGCCTATCGTAAGGGTCCTCACACTTTGCGGAAACGGACAAAGATCGACTACTCGGCTGCAGACTTTGAGGACGAGCTGCCCGAGATTGGACATCCGGCACCGAGAACTGCCACTCGCAAGAAACGAGCTGACAGTGAGGTCGCCGACGATGAGTACTTCACCCCGGCTTCTCAAAAGCGTCGCGCCACCTCCAGAGATTTTTCCGTCGCCAGTCTGCCCGCCGCTCGCCGCCGGACCCCGGCCCGGAAGACTGTCGTCGAGCCTCAGTCTTTTTACTCACACCAGTCAGACGAGGACATCGTCAAGGACACTATCGAGGTCGTCGGCGACTCATCCGATCTTGTGAGCTCCGATGATCATTCGGACCACGATGAGGATGAGAATGACACCTCCGGCCGCATCTCGTTGCCCGAGAACCACGATCCTTCCTCACCAATTCAGCGGAAAACTCAGGAGCCTCGCCACATCGCTCCCCCAGTCGAGCAGCACATTCTCAACCAAGATGAGCCGCAGCCTGTACAGACGCCGAATCACTCTGCCGTCTCATTTACTGAGGAGATGGACTCGGGCCCGATAATTGCTCACCCTCAACCTATCCGAGTCAACCATGTCTCCATTTTTAACAACACAAGCCCGGCCCAAGAGCCGCAGTCGACTTCTACACGCCGCGACGAGCCTGCCGAAGATTTTTCATTCTACCCAAAGAGAGAAGCCAGCTCTCCCGTCCGGCCAACAGCCACCGCTCCTCACACGGCGGTCGAGCCGGAAGCGGATGAGGCGGCTGCCGGGCCACAGCTGGTTCTCGGCCCCCAGGAAAACTCCGCACCTGCCGTTGTTGCTGACAATTCCGAAACGACCACCAATCCCGTCGTCACCATCAACGATGCTGCCGTCATTGAACAGTCCCCAGAGCCAATTTCTGAGCCTGCTAATGAGCCTACCGTTAATGGCGAAATTGTCAACGGCCATGTCGACGCTGTCGATGATGTTCCGCAGGAGAAGCCTCAAACCCCGGAACCTGCAGCCGAGCCTGAAGTCAAGGTTTCCGAGTCTTTCGCTGCCCAGCCAGTTGAGGATGTGCCAATTCATGACGAGATGGAGGTCGACGCCCCCGAGCAGGAGGCCACCGAAGAGGCGGCCGAGGCAACTGAACCGCAAGAGGATGCCCCAGCTGACGAGCCCGACGTCGCCCCAAGTCCCGAGGATGTCCCCGAAGAGCCTGAGATCAAGGAGCCGGAGTTCAAGAAGCCCCGCTACCCATGGTCCTACCTAACACCATACATTGAAGGCGAATACGTGACTCACTCAATTTACCCGGTGACCGTCGAAGCCTCTGCGCCAACGTCCAACGCTGATGGACCAGATGCCAATGGTGACGCCGACGCGGATGAGAGCGCAGAGCAAGTCGATGCCCAGCACGCTGATGGCGACGCAGACTATGATGCTACTGCAGATGCCGATGTCGATGCCGAAGAGACCAATCGCGATGCTGACCATGAAGACGAGCATCAGCCCGACGGCCAAGGTCCTCAACTATCCCAGGAATCCAGGTACAACTCGGAAGCCCCCACACCTGCGCTTACTCCCCGTCAGGGATCGCCAGCTTTGCCCTCGACGGCCGCCACCGGCTCCAACACGCCAGCTCTTGCTGGACCCAGGCAGCGACTCAGGAAGCAATACCCATTCAAGAAAGTGCGCGACCCTGCCGAGTACATCGAGTTTCTCAAGGACACGAAGAAGCTGTCTTATGAGGAATTGTGGGACCTCTTGGACCAAGTCAATTACAACCTCTACGCTTGGCAAGAGGAGTACAAGGAATGCACCAAGGTTGTCGACGACCAAGAAAACGCGCAACGTCGTGCGATTCAAGATGCCGCCTTCGAAAAGAAGACTGCCGACCTGGACGCCTTTTCCAAGGTGGAGTCATACATCGAAAAGGACTTTGATGTGCAGGGCTACAGAGCGGGCATTAAAGAGAAGGACGCAGGTGTCCTCGAGCAGCGTTGGCAAGACCGTGTCATGGCCTCCGCATTTGGATTTGAGTACGACCCTCATCCCAACAAGGTTGGAAACCAAGACCCAGACGCTCAAAGAGACGGCGGCGGAGAGGGCAGGCAACTCAGAAGCCAGCCCCAAGCTAGTGCAAAGGCTGCCGAAGGCGACGGTGTCATTGTCTCCGGCAAGCGAACCCGCAACCCACCAAAGTTGTTCGACGGCGTGTTACAGGATGACCGCTCAGCAACTCCTGGAGGGAACAAACCCGGCCCGAAGAGAAGAGGCAGGGCTGCCGCCGCCGACAAGTATTCCAGCTCATTCCAAGAAGAGCCCGAGCCCGAGCCTGAACCCCAGACAATTTCACCAGCGAAGCCCGGTCGTAAGAGAGGTCCTAGAGGCAAGAGGGCAGTCGTTGTCGAGTCCGAACCCAGCACGCCTGTGCCGGAGCAAGAAGCCATCGCGCCGCCGCCTCCCGAGCCCGAGACGCAAGATCCTCCCAAGCGCAAGCGTGGCCGTCAACCCAAGCCAAAGCCCGTCGTTGAGGAGCCCGAGCCGGTGGTCGAGGAAGTTACGCCCAAGCGAGGCCGCAAGAGAAAGTCCAACGGCCATGTGCCTATTCCAGAGACTACGGACGAGTCCCGCCCGACATCGTCGTCCTCCAATGCTACCATTTCAGACGACGGATCCACCTACGGTCTGCGCCAAAACAAGCGACCGCGCAACTGGAAAGAGGAGGCCGATGTCGACGAGGAAGCTGAGGAAGTGGTTCAACCGCAGAAGCGCCCTAGAATTCGCCTTAACAGGAAGCAGAGCGCGCCCGAGCTGGCGCCCAAGAAGACCGCGTCGGAGACTATTCTCGAGCACATGCACGACTTCCAGACCCCAACCACGCCCGACACTCCGCAGCTCATCATGTCTTTTAAGCACATTGGCAAAGACAAGTGGACTGTCAAGGGCGCATCCACACCCCGCCAGACTTCTACAGACGTGAGCGAGTACAACGTGTCGACTCCCCGACCTGCGCCGGTATCTGCCCCCGCCTCGGCCAAGTCGTCCGCTCCGCCAAGCCAGGCCGGCGGCGAAGAGAAGGACTACTCCACCATGACCAAGTCGGAGAAGATGTCGGCATCCATGAAGAGTGAGTACACACCACGATGTCAATGTGTCGCAATGGCTAATAGTATTCCAGAACGCTGGCTCAACGGAAGTATGCAGGGGGCCGTCAACAAGAGAAAGGCCACCTTGGCAGCCAAAAAGGCCGCCGCCGCGGCCGCGGAAGCCGCGCAGGCTGCCCAGGCCCAAGTCGCGCAGCAAAAGCAAATGCAGTTCCAGCACCACGCCGGCATCCTGCCCATGCCGCCGCATCACGGCCAGCAGCAGTAAACGAATACAACGAAATACATGACACCGTCGCAAAGACGACGACGACGAACACCCGAGAAGGGCAACGGCAACAAATGCCGCGCATACATCAACAGCATTTGCTTTTAAGAGCATCATTTCCTACATTTCCCGCCCCTTTCCTATTCCTTCCTCGAGAATCAGCATTTTTTATATACCCATTCGCCTGACGACTTTTCATCGCATCCGGATGGGGCGTGTGGGTCGGGCGGGCCTTTTTGCAACAAAAACACGGTACCTGCATCAATCACCACAAAACCATCGATTTAATCAGCCTTTCGTCACTAGTGTATTTGTGTGTGTATAGCGACGACGGAGGGCAGGGGTGGACAGCGTCTATTTCCTTATCAGAAGCATGGGAAAGCGAGGGCATCCGACTTTTCTTACTGTCGCGTTGGAAAAGAGGGACGAGAAAAAAAGTGATCGGAATTTTATTTTTTATTTTTTTAGTTTTGCATTGCGGACATGGTCGGTGTCCCCACACTTGGGAGGAGGTCACGTCACGTCACGTCACGCGTGCCGTCGTTTCGGGTTTCTTCCATAGTGTTATTCAAATGCCTTCTTGTCGTTATTCGTTGGATCAGTGATCTTGATGGTGCTGTGACTTGAGTTCGAGATTGAAATCACACAGATGAAGAGGGCCAGGTCGTCTGCTCTTGGCATCAAAGAGGACAACGGAGTAGGAGATTACGCGATTCTGTATTGCCGAGGTACCACTCCAAAGCTCGGTGCTGGCCTTTAATACCTGTAGATCTGTATGGTCGTCGAAGATGACCTTGAAGCTCTCGTGACGTCTGCAAGCCCTGAGCCGTGGTGGTTGTGGAGACTTGACCTCCATCTCTTGCGGGCTGAATATAAAGCACGTGATGGGCAACACTGATGTTGACGATCACCGATACTCGTCCTAGTCATTGGTCTGGTTCAACACATTTAGAATGGACAGTGTCGCATCGTGTTGAGCCTGCCGAACACCGAGGCGCCGGCGCCCATGTTCTTGGACGACCCCAACCTTGTGGGCGGCGCTCTCCGGCATCCGACCAGATGTTATTCGCCTTTCAATCATCACTGAGCTTGTGACTTTTGGTCCCTGCCTACATGGATGGCGTCTTGGGGCAAGGATCGTGCGTGCATGGCCTTGAGCTGCTGGATGAAGCCATGGCCGGCATTCCGCTGATTCGGCGTGCGGATGTGATGACCGTCGCGCACTTTTTGTCCTGGTTTAGCTTAGCTTACGGACTTCATGTGCTTCTTATATACGAGTTAATAAGTGCGAAATTCAAGGAGGTAGGCGCGTGACGTGTGCCGTGGGGAATATAAAGCCTCGCAGCCGGGCCAGATGTTCGCAAAGCCACGGCAATAATGCATCATGCCTCCAATTTCCAATTGTTGTTGGCACGGTATGCTCTGGTGACAGACCGGTCATGGTGCTCACGGCGTTTGTGAAGAAGACTTGGGCGAGCGAGCTTTTTGCTGTGAGTGAAGCTGAACTGAGATAGTCTCTTGGAGCGAATACGGGGGAGACGACGGCGCTCGGGGGCGTGGCGGATGTGTACCGTCGGAGGCCTTGTAGTAGCTAGCCTCGTTTTCTTGGGGTCTTTTGGTTGTGGGGGACATACTGCGGTGTCCAACTAACCATTTGGAACATGGTAGATTGCATTCGCTGGTGGTGTGATAAACATCATCGGCCACGAAGGGGTGCTTTATACCTCTGAGTGAGGACTCTGCCGGATCACGCCGATTCCAAGTAATTGATTGAGTATAAATTCTCTTCATTCGATGAATGAAATATCCATGTAGCAATACGACTGGTGATTTCTTCTAGGTTATTGGTTCTTGAACGTACCTCCACCTAGGAACGCACTTCGCCATATCGACGATGGTTGATATGTCGTTTCCATCTCATGCCCACTCGTCATGTGATTATTCATTGATACATAAGCAGAAGACAGTCCGAACACAGGCCGGCGATATGCTCAGGGCAAGGCGCGGCGACGTAGAAGTAGAGAGGTACCTTCGTAGACGTCTCTGACCTCACCGAGACAGGAAACGCCCTGACGAGGAACTCCTCTTACGGGTCACCCCAGAAACGATTCAGGAAGTCATGGCCTTCTTACATTCTTACAGAACTGGCAGTGTGATGGGTTCAGCAAGCTTTTATAGCAGCAATGGCGAGTCCGACTAGAAACCGGATGGTTGTCGTCGTGCCGTAGCACATCGATGTGGACGGGAAATTACTCTCGGGTGTAGGTCACCATGTTGTCGTGAACTTCACGGAGATAGGTAGGCTCGGCGATGTGTGTAAGGGTAGGTATAAAGTCTCATGGATGGCCGGATGCTTACACTCCCTACCAGGCAATGCACTCTGCCTGTTCTTCGGACGGGGAACACGACGCCTCAAAGACTACATCACTCTTTATGAGGCATAATGATGTCCCTCTTCCTTGATTGGATAGGTGTATATGACCATTACGCCCACGATCGCGGTTCGTCTTCGTATTATCGAGTGCGGATACGCAGGAGACAGCGGCACCTGGAGGGAGGGTCACGACTGTCCGCAGCCAAAGCCCTGACATGATTTCTTGGTCTTGGATGAAGCACTGCAACACTTATGCAACTCTTCGTAATCCTTCAATCGAACGACGGCCCGCTACCATTGGCGTGCGGAGAAGACCGCATCCCCAGCCAGAGGGCTCATTTTATACCCTTTTCAAACGAGGGTTTGCTAGGAAACTTACTCCCGTGGATGAATAATTCTGGTATAAGAATGAGCCGTCATGCTCATGAAGGCTGATACAGCGACAATCACTTGATTGTGATATCTGGGATTTCCAGATCTGCGAAGGTGTACAGACGTCTGAGCATGCACCCCCTGGGATGCAGATGATGGCTTCGGCGGCGCATACGTAGTGAAGTCACCTTTTGTCTGATTATTCGCCATGGAATGACTTGGGGATAGAACTGCCGCGGACCGACGCTGTCGTTGGGTAGATAGTGGCGAGGTAGAAGGACCCTCTCCATAGGTCTCTCCCATCGCAATGAGGCGGCACAAATTCGTGCGTCACTTACCGCGTTATCAATGCCGAGGCACATTGTCTCCTTTGAAATGTTGCATTGCGTCGGATGTTGGAGGCTTATATAGAAGCTCCGGCAAGATCCACGCGGAAACCCGGGTGGTTGTCGCCGTTCGTGTCCTACAACACTACAGGTCAGGCGGGAAGAACCCATGAGTGATGCGTCTGGAGCGTTTCTTGCTTATATAACCATATCTCGGCAGGATTGGTGTCAACTGAGCAATATTAGGCTTGGAACTCCGCGTCCTCCGAAGACATGCTATGTCCGTAGTGCGCCATAACTAGACCTACGAAGCACGCCCTTCCGCAAGAATCATGCTGACAGTGTCCAAAACTAACTATGATGTATGTTTTATAAATACACAGCAGCAGAGGACGGCGGCGGATGATTCCATGCATCCATGTTGGAGAGCCCCGCCACGCGACGCGCAGAGATCATGCGGTTCTTCGTGAACAAGTGTCTCCGAGGCAATCCAGGCACTTGGCTCTACTTAGGATTTTGTGCAAGATCACCACTTTGAATCGGAAATCAGTGACAGCTAACGAAATGCGCTGTTGATACTCGCACCATGAGGTATCATGGCGAGCGTCGACGGTAGAGGCCCAGTCTGGGTCAACGACCCGTCTTCGCAGCCCGGGCCGCGGCCACAGGCATGCTTCCCTATAAAAGAATTGTCGATGAGCTGGTAACCTATCTCCGGGCGTCACGACAAATTTGAGCTTTATCTAGCGGAAGCGTTATGCGACTTGTACACTACACGCAAGACGCGCACCGTGATGAAGTGCGCCGGGCCACAGGAAGGGAGCTGGCCAAGCTCAGCCCATAGAAGTAGTGCGTCTTGTGAATGACGGCGGACGACGAATAGATAAGAGAATACACAAGGAAATGAAGGAAGATGAAGAATGAGCCGCATGTGAGTTGCGTCATTGGGGCAGGCTGGTGAAGGGAGCCCAACTCCAGTTCACCACGACGTATGTCGCAATGAGGTCATGGCAAGTTTGTCTGATTCCTGATTGGTCCCATTGCCTGTCGTATTAACATGAAGCTTCATGCTGCTTATACCTAGTACTCGGCAGCTGTTGATCTGCTTTGCTTTGAGAGAACCATTCAAAGACGCCCACACCGGGGAGCGCATTGTCGTTGACGTCTCTCTTCTCAGAGACCCCGTTGAGTCTCAGGATGAGCTACGCATCAGATTGCGTCGTCTCCAAGAGATGTTCGAACCTCGCAGGTTCTCATTGGATCCTTTTGTGGTACGAATAGATCGACAGAGACGGTGGTGAGGGAAGGGCCCTGACTTCGGTCAGAGTTGACCCTACTTTGGGGTCACTCTCCGTCGATAACTGAAATAGAGAAAGAAACAGTGGCGTTTATATTTCTGAAAAGGCCCCGGATCAGCCAATTGCATTGTTCCTTTGTGGAATTCTTGAAATGGCTGACGCAGAATTGCTTTATACGCCCACAGGGACGCAACCATGAGCCCTCAGCCGGGGCGAAGACACTGGGCAACGTGGAAGCATTCACAACGGAGTTGGTAACCAGTCTAGGCTCAAGCCTTGACGAGCTGTTGGAACTTATTGAGATGAGAATCAGCCTCGCGCCATAATTGTGATACATGTCAATGTTCACTTGGAAGAGCAACGCAGGACGCAAACCAATGCAGTGCTCGGTGCGACTTTTGACATGAACAGGTATACAAGAAATACACTACCAAGCCATAATTAGCTCGTCCAAGCATCACCACGATCACCAAATGATGTGCCTCTTCGGCGTCGCTTCTCGGTCTTCTCGTCGGTTGGGTGTACATCCTATTCAACGGTACCTTCCTCGTCTTGTATTCCATATGTCCTCAAAACCAGACCTAGGAGTTGGTAATTGTAGAATTACGTTCTTTCCGGATGATTTAAATG